ACTCAAGCACGAGTGAGGTATCTCTTAAGATTTCCAGGGGCTTTGTCATAAAATCCCCAAAGGAGGTCTAGAAGTCTCCAGTTACTGTCCTCAGCCTGAAGTTACCTTGGACTCCTGGAAAAGTGGGGGCTGGCAAAGGTCACCCCAGAACTGTACTGCTGTCCACGAGTGGTGGTGTTACTCACAGTGGAAGCCAAGGCCGCCCCTGGCAGAGCAAGCACCGGGTGTAAACCCGTATTGCTTTAACTGTAGTGAACTCACAATAGATTGACAACCTAGATATGCAAAGAGAGAAACCCTCAATCTGCTAAAAGGTAAAAAACAGAACAAACACTTTCAGACAGAGGTATGGGTAAGGACTTAAGAAAACCTCTGTTACATGAAAAATAGTTCTAGGAATCAAAAAGGAGTTTGTATGAAATTAAAAACTTTTGTACATCAAAAAACAATAACCAACAAAATGGAAAGACCACCTTTGGTGGGGGAAAATTTTGCCAACTAGTCCTCTGATGGATGAGTAATATCTAGGATATATGAACAACTTGGAAAAATACACACCAAACAACAAAAGATCCAATCAACAAGTGGGCAACTGAAGTGAACAGGCACATCTCAAGAAAAGAAAATGGTCAAAAAGGTCCATAAACAAATGCTCGGTATTTTTGGCCATTAGGGTAATACAATGAAAAAATATGGAGCTTTTGTCTTGCTCCAGTAATAAAGGCTGTTGCCAAGGGCTCGAAGCAGAGCAAATGTGGGTGAGAAGGGGAGAACGAAGGAAGTCTTCTAAGTTGTTGGTCGGAGTTTAACCTAGGACAGCCACTGTGGAATTCGGTAGGAGACTCCTCAAAACAACTGAAACCGAGAAGTGCTTGGAAGGTAGCAGTCATCTCCTGGGTATTTCCCAAGAGAGGTAAAGTGTCCACACCACAGTGACACATGAACATCTGATATGTACAGCAGTGCAGATTACACCAGCTGAATTATGAAGCTTGCGAAATGCCCATCAACAGATGAAAGGATTGAGCTAAGTACTGTAAAGTTAGAGGACAAAGTGTTGCTGAGCCATGAAGGATACACTTGAGTCACTTCTAGGGAAAGATATTAGGACTATAATTAAATAAATAAAATGCAGAAGATAAATATTACTTGGTTTCTATTTCATAAGAAACTCAAGGGGCTGGAGAGATGGC